AAGGAATGCGACAGCAGAAACCCATGTCTTTCATACGTCTGTGTGTGGTGGTTCTTGAAGCACTCACTCCAGCTGCAGTCCACTCTTTGTGAATCTCCCCCACATTTTTGAATGGGTTTTGTTTCACAATCCTCTCCAGGGTGCGGTTATCTCTCTTGCTTGTACACTTTTTTCGACCACATCTTTTCCTTCCCTTCGCCTCTCTATTAATGTGCTTGGACACTGAGCTCTGTGAACAGCCAGCCTCTTTAGCGATGACCTTTTGTGTCTTGCCCTCCTTGTGCAAGGTGTCGATGGTCGTCTTTTGGACAACTGTCAAGTCAGCAGTCTTCCCCATGATTGTGTAGCCTATAGAACTAGACTGAAAGACCATTTAAAGGCTTTTGCAGGTGGTTTGAGTTAATTAGCTTATTAGAGTGTGGCACCAGGGGCCATCAATTTTGAACCTTTTCACAATATTCTAATTTTCTGATATGATGAATTTGAGATTTTCATTTGTTGTCATTTGTAATCATCAAAATTAAACAAAATAAACATCTGAAATATATGAGTTTGTATGTAATGTATGAATATAATATACAAGTTTCACTTTTTAAATGGAATTACTGAAATCAATCTACTTTTTCATGATATTCTAATTTTATGACCAGCACCTGTAGATCCTCCCTCACTGTAATCGGTTCACTCAATGCTAGGTGGGTTGGACCCCCTGTTGCATTAACAATGGCCTTAATTCTTCATGACTTTCTTTAAAAATAATTTCTAACTTGTTAAACTCATAGATTTTGATTCATATTAAAGGATAGCACCCTTGTTTTGGTTAATTTGTTGCACAGCAATTAGATGAATCCCCGGTTCCTTCACACCCCAAATGTACTATGTTGGATGGCAGCTATGGAAACTTTTGAAATCCATGTTTATGAGCTAAACAGCCCTAAAACGTAATAAGATCTGAGTTTTTTTTTTTGTTTGTTTTTTGAGTGTAGGAAAATGTGCACGTTTTTTTTTTTTACTTCCTCATTCAGTGAGAATCCATAAGCTTACGGTTTGTGCTGTACTCTCCCCTTGGATCTGACCAGGGGTCATATCTATCATTATCTTTATTATTATCTATGTTGTTTTTTTCCCCTAAATGCTTAGAATTTAGGAAAATTCACTCGTACTCTCAAACTTAAGAATAAAAGCTGTTTATCAACTTTTTCAAGTCTTAATCCCCGGGCACACCGGTTCAGTCCGACTTTTTATTCTCCGATCCGTTTTCTTTCCCCCATATCCCAGTGACTGTGTATAGCGATGCTCGGACTCAAAGGTTGAGCTGATCTGTGCAGATTTTTTGTCACCACTGTGTCACACAAATGGAAACAATTTCCCACTTTTGATGGGGACAGCTTATGAAAAGTTATTAAAAATACATAGATAAAAATAAATGTATTTTCAATATGTAATCAGCCAAACACAGTCAGGTTTGCAGTCGCACAGCACATTTAAAGCAGGTGAAGCAGACCTGTGCATAAACAATGAAACATTTTTAAAAAACAGACTTACCCAGAAGTTCACAAGGACAGAAAACGGATAAAATAGTGAAGCTCTTTAAGCCTTGCAAGAACAATGAGGGCCAGAAAGAGCAGTTTATCACTCTCCTTGAGAAAAAGGAAAAAAAAAAAATTCAGGTGGACACAAAAGGGATATAGTAAAAAAATTTAAAATAAAAATTTTGCCAACTTCACAGATCTCTTAGAATCACCTCTCACTGCCTATAAACTACCCAATAGCCTTTTGTTGCTTTATTTTTCTCTGCTTTAAAATGTAGTTCCCATAATATATATAATTAAAAAAATTCTGTTCTGGTTAGAGAGGCTGCACACACTCGTTAAGAAGGGCTTTGCTTTGTAGTAGCGTAGGTTTTGTTTTATCATCCTACACTTTGCTAGAATTGTGAGTGAGACACTTGATAAATAACTTTGAAGTCCAGCTTTTAACTTGTCTTATTATCTTTTTGCTAATAAGTCCAATCTTAAGAGTTGTCTTGGAACTAATTTTAAGAAATTTGATAAAAAATGGCCCCTGAATATTAATGACGTGTAGAAAAGCTGCACAAAGTATAAAAGCAGCAGTACAGTAGTGTCCGCACGTCAAGCATATATCAAGCTTTAGAGTACAGGAAACTACCTGACCTTTGTGACTTTGAGCTTTTCCTGCTAGAGGTAGCAACCTTAACGCTGGAACGTTGTAGTTATATAGAGGAGACATGGTCAGCAGTAATATTTGTGTAAAAAAAAAAGTCTTTAACTGCTCTGTAAGTATCATGGGCCCCAAAATGTTCCAATAAACATTATATCAAATCATCCTGATTTGTTAAGTATAGCAGAATGGATTCATGCTTTCATTTAAATTAAATGTTTTTATTATTTAATCTGAATGTAGCAGCTAAAGGGAAGACTCATCCACATGTTTTCCATCTGTTATTGTCCAACTTTGGTGACGCTGTTAATTGTAGCCTCAGTGTCCTGTTCTTAGCCATCAGCAGTGACATCTGGTGTGGTCTTCCGTCCATCTGCTTCATGGTTTAAAATGTGCATTTGACAAATAACCTTCTGTTTTTTTTCTCTTTTTTTTTTAACTTAACCATTTAATCTAAATATGCATTTTTTATGAATACAATTTGCTCTCATGTTTCTCTCTCTGTGAATTAAAACTTACTGAATTGTGTTCTTCTCATACAATTCATTCTTTAGTGTACCTGTATGTTTTCATCTGCTTCTCTCACTTGAATTTCCCCGCCGTGGGACAATAACTGGGACTTCTATTCTATTTTATAGTTCAGTTTAGGGTTGCAACTAATGATTATTTTGGAAATCCATTAATCTCTCTATTATTTTTTGATTAATCGATTAATAATCGGGAAGCCAAAGGTTCCTTAAAGCAGTGTTGTTTTTGTCAACGATGACTATGATGAAATCATTTCGTTGACGCTCCTTTTTTTTCCATGACGATAACGAAAACTGAGGAGCTTTGGATGACGAAAACATAACTAGTCAGATTGTCGGTCAGACGTTTAAAATGCATCATTGTGCTGTAACCAGCAAAGCAATATCAGCCGTGCTTCTGTGTCCTGTTTGATCTTGCCGCCCACCTGCAGCTCAGCGTTGCACATGCTGCAGGAGCACAGATGGATCATGGCAACAGCTCCCGGAATGGTCCAGTTCTGCGTGCTCAACTCTAACAAACTTTGCTCTGATCTTCCATCTGTGATTGGGTATTAATGTGTCTTTGCGCGCACAGAGCTTCAAGCCTGCGCTTCACTCTCCACTCTAATGGTTCGCTCTCAGCAGTATGGCTCTTCCTGCTGTCGCTACTTAATAAAATATGTGACTGATCATCCTTTGCCAAGCGTAAAAAACCCTTTTGTCTAACTATCAGTATATTCCCCCAACCCTCTTGACAGCTCTATTGCATATTCCTCTGCACAAATTTTACCAGTTGTGTTTCCACTGGATTAACGGTCGTGCATGGACATGACAGTATTTTATCTGTCTCTGACATGCTCAGGCCAGCCCAGTGGGCCCAGACTCCTATTCCACGTTTAGTTGATAAAATCCACCTTTCTTATCCATTCTCATGCTTAGTTGGTTTGGACTTCACAGCGATGCCGTAATGCTTGTGACTGGCAAATGTTCCGTTTGTGAACAAGCAATTGAAGAAGTGTATGTAGCTAATGAAGAGGCTGCTGATTGAGTTTATAAAGGTCTAAGTCATTATGATGATTGCTTTTCTGGCATTCAGAGGATGGAAATTGAAACTATTAAGTGATTTTTTTTTATTTTTTTTTTATACATGCTTACCACTTGAAAGTCTTTCTACTAGTCTACCTTCACCTATTTGCACTTATTGGCTCATACAAATTTATGCAACGCTACACGGACTGAGAAGCAACTAGGGGTTAAGAGCCGTGCCCCTGGTGTAGGGCTTGGCAATTATTTGCATTTCAAATATAATTGCAATTTATCAAAACCCATTTCTTTAATCACAGAGGCACTCAAATTTGGGTACATTTCATTTAACAAAACTAAGACAGTGATTTTCTCACTCCAGCCCTTTAGGTGGAGGTAAAATGCTTAACGTGGGGGAGAGTCTAGGGCACAGATCCACCCATACCTGTAGAAGTCTTCCCTTTTCCACACAGTAACTGTACAGTCCTCTGACAAAGGACTCTGGATTAGCACTTTTAATTTTTGGCTAAGATGTTGAGCACTTGGGGCACACCTCCTGTTTTCACTTGTAGTGGTATGTGAGTACCCTTTATAAAATACAGATTATAATAATCTCTATTGCTGGATAATTTTCCCACTACATCGGTGGACATTTTAATTTGATTTAATTTCAGATGTCCAGGTTGCTCTTCTGTTAAGTGGACAAAAAATGCGTTGCCTAATTGATACAATTGGAAGTTTTACCTGCATGGCAGCAATTTTAATCAAGTCGTGTCATTTTTATCAGTAAATTTGATTTATAACAGCCTCTTAAATAAACTCTAAAGCCTGTATTACCTGTGAAGTTGGCTCCAATGTATCTAGCGTCCTGAATGCTGGATTAAGTATTCCTTTTTCTGGGACCTCTTTGGTGGTTCAGTAGGACTTAGAACTCTTTCAGCAGTCTTAAGCCACATTAAAAAGTTATCCAGCATGTTGCTGAAAGGGTTTTGTAGCTTAATTACAAAACAGATGTTTTTCTTTTGTTTTCTACAGATTTGATTCATAATTTCTCATTGTTGCTCCCAGGGCTAAATGGCTGCTGTAGTAGATGTATTCTGATTGCACAAGGATTATTAAGTTGATTTGGGTTTGGTGAGAGGGGTGGGGTGGGGGAGTTCTTTTGATTGCACACAGACCACTGTCAGAAATCCTTTTTGTTTTCACACCTTCTTTTCTTTTAATCTTATGCGTTTGTTATAAATTGACTATCTTTGCTGCGTAATTGCTGACAGTTCTGTTCTCTTATAGCCCTGCGAATGGAGAGCTGCGTGAAGAGATCTACTCGTACGTGGAACAGCTGCCGGTATCTGAGATCATCCATCAGGTAAGAGCAGGAGGTTTAAACAAACTGGTCCGGATCACTCAAACCCACACAAGTCGAGGACGCATTTTCAGCAGTTGAGCCTCTTGCGTTGGCAGGCGATTTGTTCTGCAGCATTATGTTTTCTCCTTTTGTTAGTTTAAGTGCGTCCACACTCACCCTTAACATGGACACAGAGCAGAAAAGTTAAGTGCAACATTCACCAACAGATGTCTATGTGTGGTATCCATGGCAATGGCTCCATGTATGAAATGTACTCTCTGTGTGAAGGGCGGCCACCGTGAAATCCAGCAGAATGGCTGGGCGGGATAGTGGTGAGGAATTGTGCATTCACCTCATTCCCAAATGGATTGGGTCTCTCACTCGGATCGACCTTCACAAATGAACACCTCTTCCTCCTCAATCCATCTTTTGAACGTGCACGCTGCATTCAAAGTAGCTGGCCTTTGGTCCCATATCATCCTTGTAAGATTTTCCATTATGAGGCCATTAAAAATACAATTTCTGTTCTCCCACTTCAGAAACATAAGAAACAGCATTAATCATCACCAGAGGCAAGCCAACAGCTGACATTTGTGGTGTTTCCTCAAATGTCTTTGATGTGATCCAGTTTCAAATGCAGTCACGTTTAAATATGTTATCATTACCAAACACAAACTCTTCTGTTTGTTTGTTTAGTCAGAAGTTGGGAAAGATGAATTAAGGCACGAGTATCAGATTGATCTTTCGATAGTTAAAATCTTTACCAGGTAATTGTTTTTGTTACTAGTTTTGCTTTTAATCAACCACTCCTTCATCTTCTTTAGATTTGTGATAAAAGTCACATTTTAAAATTGCATAGAACTGAACCAAATTGTGACAATTTAAGAAATGGCAACGGCCAAACACTGAAATAAGGTCAACGGTTATTGGCAGTTTAACAGGAAGAAGACAGTCCAGACAATCATTTCATTCGCAATGTATTGCAATTTAAATAAACATAATTTCCCAATTGCACATGCAAATCATTTTTGTCACATTAAATTTAACTAAGGTAAGATATTAACTTTCTCACTCAACCAATTTAGGGGGGGGGGGGATATGCTAAATATGGTTATGTCACCACACAGACTGGAAGAAAAATGTCCTATCAGCACAGCTCTATGAATGGTGTCAATAGTGTGTGAGTTGTTCATTTATATCAGTCATTTTTCTTAAAATCTGAGTAATTCCCATTAAAGCTGCAGTCTGTAACATTGAGAAGAGAGCAGACTTCGACTGAAAATTTGAAGAAAAACAGGTTTCACGCCACTCCCCCACCCTCTCTGCTTCACTCATGCCCCACCTCCAAGCTCCACCCCTCTCACAGCACCTGCGCGGCTACCGCATGCGACCAGAAGCGTCCAAGCAGCGTACGCGGCATGGAGTGTGAACCGGTAAGAGCGATAACACTCACCTCCAAGCAGCTAGATATAAGATGCTGGTTATACGGAAGTTTGCCGTGTAAGCAGTTGTCGGCAGGGGCAGTAAGGACAGTTTCTCTTTCGCTGGTGGCTGTTGCTCCGCCATGACTTCCATGCGCGTCCTCCTGACTGCAGCAGCCAGGCGGCAGCGGCAGGTTCAGTGGTGAGAGGGAGGGGGCGGGATTCAGCGTGTGTGAGCTGTGATTGACACTCCATCAGACGCTCCTCTGGCTGTGATTGGTTGTTTTGTCTCGTCCCGAAATATTCTTTCCAGATTGAAATACAGGCAGTATGCGGGACCAATTGAAGCAGTTTTTTTCACAAATCACATGTACTGCTGTCTGGGCATAGGGACAGTTTTAGCCAATATGACAAAAAAGTGATTTTTAAAAACTTACAGACTTCATCTTTAATATAATCCACCTGAAATAAGGTTCGGTTGTTCTGCTAGGTTTTTCTTTGTTTTCTATTCCCGAGCTCTGTTACATTGAAAAATGTGCCTTTAGCTAAAGCATCCAGAGAGTTTCCAAAGGATCAAAATGTCATGGAATGAAGGCACCAGCCAGGAGAAAAGCACTAAAAGATTCAAAAGCTTTATCAATATCTCAGGTTATATCATAGAGAAAGCTACAATTTAAGAGAGAAACTGGGCAAAGTTTTTCACAAACTAATAAGACAGAAATAAAAACTGACCAGGAAGGCTGTCAAGAACCTCGTGGTAAAAATGAAGGTTGTCCAAAAGATTTCACATGTCTAACGTACGGCAGACACTGTTATTCTCTACATGTATAGACTAAGAAAAGAGTTGCAAACAGAATCCTTTCCTCCAAAGAAAACTCTCAGTCTGGATCGCAGTGGTTTAAAAATTCTGCAGGAGATTATAATCTAAAGAATCTAGACTAAAAATGTTGACTCAAAGATTCAAAAGTGCTGCACATCACTAAAAAGGAAAATCCATACTTACAATGATTAGGGTTATAATAGTTAAACAAATCTAATGAAAAAACAAAAACTGAAATGGAGAAAATAATTTTACTGACCAAAATAAAAAAAATAAATGTAAATAGAAAGAAAAAAGGATATCTGATACAGTATTGTAAATTTGTTAAAGTGACTAAAACATAGTAAAATGATAGCTATAAACATACCGTTTATTTTTGTGTTTATAATTTTTTTTATAAGCCTTGCAAACTGATGTGACTCTGTTAAAGTTGTAATTTAAACTGATTTTGAAAATGATATTTTGTGTTTTTTATTGCCTGTATGCACGATTTCATAAATTCAATACCACTTTGACAAGATCTTTTTTAAACCCTTTACGTTAAAGTTAAGAGAAGTATGAAAATTTTAAACTACTACTTAAAGTGATGAAAACTTAACTAAAATAAAGAAATATTAGAATGATGGTAATTTCCAAAAATAGCAAACCTATTCTATAGTGATGGTGAGATGAAGCCTCATGAGGCATTGAACCGTTTGGCCAAATTGCTTCAACGATCCCCACAGTTCATGAGGCTTCGTGTGAACAGGTCACCCCATACTGGTGGACAGCAGAACTACAGTTTGTAATAAAATCTGTGAATTTTTTTGCAATTGTTTTTCTTTTTTTTCCCCTTTTAAGTTCCCTTGAAATTGTTAATGGTTGGTGTGTATGATAAAATCTTTTGTAAGTTTTTTTTTTAAGTGTAAAATTTCTTAGAACAATCATTTAAGGTGCACAGTTTTTCTGCCATTTTAGTGAAATAAACTCAAGCAGACAGTAAAAGTATTTGTGCAAATTGGGCAATGATGAACAAAATGAAAGGTGTTAGTCATTTTTATTCAAACATGATAGTTTTTCCATGTTTTTTGGTTTTAGTCAGGTTGGAAGTTATGTTCAACCAATCTTTTGGCTAAGCCAACCTAATTTACCCAATCTATATTTTTACTCGGGCAAAACAATGCAAATTAGTCTCATCAGCCAAAATAATTAAGTTTAATCGCAATTTTCAAAAGAGAAAGACAGGTCTTGAACCATCAACCTCCAGGGTAAGAGACTGTCTCTTACAGAGGACGCCACTCATGTGGACAGTCTCATCTGGGAGAAAATACTTCTTAACCCTGACGTATTAACACTGGCTTTGTCTGGTGGTTTTGCTCAGATTTTGATCATTATATTGTTTATTCAAACCCAATTAGCTTTAAGCAACTAGATTGGTTGGAAAGACAACCAATTTATTCTTAGAATCTATTCAAACTTTATCCTGCTGACAGCAGCTCTCCTCCAATCTCCCACATCTTGACTGAACACTGAGACTGTTTAGATGCCTGTCAAAATTCTTACCGAAGCGGTCACGTGGTATCACGGTAGCGAGGCCTCGGACGTCATCAATTTTGGCCCCTCCTCTAAATGAATCACGCCTCGACACGCGCTTCGGGGAAACGCCCCCTCCATTACTCGACACACGCCTCGAAGCCTCGGCTCATCTCATAACATCACTACTATTCTAAAACTAACTGAATTAGAGAAGAAAAAAAAGTTACAATCAAAACTAAACCAGTATGAGAAACTTAAAACGCTTATAATCCTTCAATCAAACATAGTAATGGGGGCATCATGCTGTGGGGTTACAGTTTGAGTGGAAGGTAGAAGGTAGAGTAATTTAGCATCACCACCAATGTAAAGGTACATCCACTTCATCAGAAGAACGGCTTCACTGAGTGAAAGTTAAAGTTAGTGTTATTTGGTCTAATGGTTTCTAATTTATTTAATGTTATCACTGGCAGTTTGTGGATTTAAGCATCTTAATCTTAAATTCAGAATAGTGCAACATATAAAGTTTAACTACGGATGTTTTTTGTGACTGCCATTTTAATGACTGCCTTCTACACGTTCCACATTTTATGTTGTCTAAATTTAATGCGCATTATGCCTCTTGGGGATTATGACTTAAATTGAAATGCTGCCAGGCTATCTTTAATTTACTGTAATTGCATTTTTTTTTTTTTTTGCAGTCCGCAATGTGACAGTTGTGGCATTTTTTTTTTTTTCCCACTTTAGATGCATAAACACACAGCAGCTAATGTCAGTAGCTGAATTAAAGCCAAGTGTCAAATCTGGCTTTTCAATTTTTAAAGGCTGAGGCAGAGTCGATCAGCCCAGAGAAATGAAGCTGACCAGGGGTCTGAGCCTAGCCAGCAGCTTACTGTCATCATGAGAGGAAACGGGGGGTCTCCACATCCAACAGCTGCCTCTGGGATATTGGTTCATGACAGCCTGAAAGCTCTGCTAATGTTTAGAATCAGATCCGCTGCCTGCTACTCACATAAAAGCACCTCCATAAACCAATTTCCATCACTGGGAAACTTTGGTTACCACACAAACAGAACCTATGAATTCTACATCTGCAACTTGGATTCATATGTTGACTTAATTTTCTATATTCCTAATATAAAAAAGAAAAGTTTTTTTTTTCTTTTTTTTGTTAATTCAGGACGCATACACATTTCACAAACATTCTGTAACCCAATGACCACTGGCAGAGATTTCGATTATTGGCTGCAGCTCCTGCTGGGCTTGAG